GTTTTTAGGGTTTTTTTAGGGGTTTTAGGGTGTATTTTTGGGGGTTTTTAGGGTTTTTTTTAGGGTGGGTTTGGGGGTTTTTAGGGTGGGTTTGGGGTTTCTAGGGAGGTTAAAATGTGAATTTTGGGGGTTTTTTGTGCCCCCAGGAACAGCCTGAACGAGTATTTCAAGGACAGCCGGAACGTGAAGAAGCTCAAAGACCCCAGTGAGACCAAAAGGGGATTTTGGGGGTTTTTTTATGGGGTTTTGGGTTTTTTTTTAGGGGATTTTGGGGTTTTTTTATGGGGTTTTGGGGTTTTTTTATGGGATTTTGGGGTTTTTTATGGGATTTTGGGTTTTTTTTTGGTTGGATTTTGGGGTTTTTAAGGGGATTTAAAATGAGGGATTTGGGGTTTTTTAGGGATTTTTTTTTGAGGGTTTTTAAAGAGAATTTTGGGATTTTTTAGGGGGATTTTTGAAGGGTTTTAATTTGAGTTTTTGGATTTTAGGGGGGTTTTTTGAGGGTTTTTAGGGTGGGTTTGGGGTTTTTTTTGGAGGGGAATTTAAGGGGTTTTTGGGACAGTTTTGGGGTTTTTTTGCAGAATTTTTTGGGGAGCTTTTGGTGTTTTTCTCAAGGACTTTTTAAAGATTTTTTTGGACCCATTTCCATTTTTTGGGGCTTTTTTTTAATTTTTTTTAAGGTTTCCAATGGGATTTTTTGGGAATTTTTGGGCATTTCAGGATGGGATTTTTGGGAATTTTGGGCATTTCAGGATGGGATTTTTGGGGATTTTTGGGCGTTTCAGGATGGGATTTTTGGGGATTTTTGGGCATTTCAGGATGGGATTTTTGGGGATTTTTGGGCATTTCAGGATGGGATTTTTGGGGATTTTTGGGCATTTCAGGATGGGATTTTTGGGAATTTCAGGATGGGATTTTTGGGGATTTTTGGGCATTTCAGGATGGGATTTTTGGGCATTGCAGGACGGGATTTTGGGGAATTTCTGGGCATTTCAGGATGGATTTTTGGGGATTTTTTTGGCATTTCAGGTTGGGATTTTTGGACATTTCAGGACGGGATTTTGGGAATTTTTGGGCATTTCAGGACGGGATTTTTGGGGAATTTCAGGACGTTTCAGGATGGGATTTTTGGGCATTTCAGGATGGGATTTTTGGGCATTTCTGGGCATTTCAGGACGGGATTTTGGGAATTTCTGGGCATTTCAGGATGGGATTTTGGGGAATTTCAGGATGGGATTTTTGGGGATTTTTGGGCATTTCAGGATGGGATTTTTGGGGATTTTTGGGCATTTCAGGATGGGATTTTTGGGAATTTTTGGGCATTTCAGGATGGGATTTTTGGACATTTCAGGATGGGATTTTTGGGGATTTTTGGGCATTTCAGGATGGGATTTTTGGGCATTGCAGGACGGGATTTTGGGGAATTTCTGGGCATTTCAGGATGGATTTTTGGGGATTTTTTTGGCATTTCAGGTTGGGATTTTTGGACATTTCAGGACGGGATTTTGGGAATTTTTGGGCATTTCAGGACGGGATTTTTGGGGAATTTCAGGACGTTTCAGGATGGGATTTTTGGGCATTTCAGGATGGGATTTTGGGAATTTCTGGGCATATCAGGACGGGATTTTTGGGGAATTTCAGGGCATTTCAGGATGGGATTTTTGGGGATTTTTGGGCATTTCAGGATGGGATTTTTGGGGATTTTTGGGCGTTTCAGGACGGGATTTTTGGGGAATTTCAGGGCATTTCAGGACGGGATTTTTGGGGATTTTTGGGCGTTTCAGGATGGGATTTTGGGGAATTTCAGGATGGGATTTTTGGGCATTTCTGGGCATTTCAGGACGGGATTTTGGGAATTTCTGGGCATTTCAGGATGGGATTTTGGGGAATTTCAGGATGGGATTTTTGGGGATTTCAGGACGGGATTTTGGGGAATTTCTGGGCATTTCAGGAGGGGATTTTTGGGCATTTCAGGGCATTTCAGGAGGGGATTTTTGGGCATTTCAGGACGGGATTTTTGGGGAATTTCTGGGCCTTTCAGGACGGGATTTTTGGGGAATTTCAGGACGTTTCAGGATGGGATTTTTGGGCATTTCAGGATGGGATTTTGGGAATTTCTGGGCATATCAGGACGGGATTTTTGGGGATTTTTGGGCATTTCAGGATGGGATTTTTGGGGATTTTTGGGCATTTCAGGATGGGATTTTGGGAATTTCTGGGCATTTCAGGATGGGATTTTTGGGGATTTCAGGACGGGATTTTTGGGGCATTTCTGGGCCTTTCAGGAGGGGATTTTTGGGCAGTTTTCAGGTGTTTTTGGCATTTTCTCCCTCCCCAGCCATGCGTTTCAAGCTGCTCAAGCACACCAGGCTCAACGTGGTGGCGTTTCTCAACGAGCTGCCCAAGACCCAGCACGACGTCAACTCCTTCGTGGTGGACATCTGTGCCCAGACGGTGAGAGGGGAGCCTGGCACAGCTGGAACAGCTGGAACAGCTGGAATTCCCTCTGGAATTCCCTCTGGAATCCCCTGCCAGCCCCTCCTCACCCCCCCTCTCTGGAATTCCCTCTGGAATCCCCTGCCAGCCCCTCCTCACCCCCCCTCTCTTCCAGAACACGCTGCTCTGCTTCACCGTCCACGGCATTTTTAAGGAAGGTGAGTTCCCACTTGGAATTTTGACTTTTTTTTCTCCTTTTTTTTATTATTTTTTTCCTCTTTTTTCTTCTCTTTTTTATTCCTTTTTTCTTCTTTTTTTCCTCCTTTTTTTATTCTTTTTGTCTCTTTTTTTTATTATTTTATTTCCTCTTTTTTATTCTTTTTTTTCCTCTTTTTTATTCCTTTCTTCCTCCTTTTCTCCTTCTTTTTTTTCCTTTTTTCCTCTTTTTTCTTCTTTTTTATTCCATTTTTTCCTCCATTTTTTCCTCCTTTTTTTCCTCCTTTTTTCCTCCTTTTTTTTTTCCTCTTTTTTATTCCTTTTTTTCCTCTTTTTTTTCCTTATTTTTTCCTTTTTTCTTCCTTTTTTCATCTTTTTTTATTCTTTTTTTCCTCTTTTTTTATTCCTTTTTTCCTCTTTTTTTCTTCTTTTTTTCCTCTTTTTTTATTCCTTTCTTCCTCTTTTTTTCCTCCTTTTTTTTCATTATTCTTTCCCCTTTTTTCTTTTTTTCCTCTTTTTTTATTATTTTTTCCTCTTTTTTTTTAATTCTTTTTTTTGTCTTTTTATTCCTTTTTTCCTCTTTTTTTATTTTTTTCCTCTTTTTTATTCTTTTCTTCCCTCCTTATTTTCCTTATTTTTTCCCCTTTTTTTGTCTTTTTTTATTCTTTTTTTTTCCTTTTTTTTTATTACTTTTTCCTCTTTTTTCATTCTTTTTTTTCTCTTTTTTATTCCTTTCTTCCTCTTTTCTCCTCCTTTTTTTTTCCTTATTTTTTCCCCAATTTTTCCCTTTTTTCTCCCCCCTTTTTTCCCTTTTTTCTCCCTATTTTTCCCCCACATTTTCCTGATTCTCCCCCCCTTTTTCTCCAATTTTTCCCTTTTTTTCTCCCCTTTTTTCCCTTTTTTCTTCCCCTTTTCCCCCACATTTTCCTGAATCTTCCCCCACTTTTCCCCCCTTTTTTTCCCTTTTTCTCCCCCTTTTTTTCCTTTTTTTCTCCCCCTTTTCCCCCACATTTTCCTGAATCTTCCCCCACTTTTCCCCCCTTTTCTCCCACTTTTTTTCCTTTTTCTCTCCCATTTTCTCCCCTTTTCTCCCCCTTTTTTTCCTTTTTTTCTCCCCTTTTCCCCCCACATTTTCCCCATTTTCCCCTCCTTTTTCCCCTCTTTTCTCCCCCCTTTTCCACCATTTTCTCCCTCTTTTCCCCCCTTTTTTCCTGTTTCTCCCCCTTTTTTCCCCCTTTTTTCCCCCTTTTTTCCCCCCACTTTTTCTCTCTATTTCCCCCCCTTTCCCCCATT